GGGAATACAGGAAGTGATTAGTATAAGAGTACTAAATAAACAGAATTCATATATTACATTTCATAATTCAACAAAATCGATTAAGCATTGCAAAGAGAAGACAAAACGGTAAATGAACACTAGAACCGCCAAGGGATTCATTTTGACTAACCCCGATACTGACGGGCTGTCAGGAGAGGGAGAGAGAGAGAGAGAGAGAGGAAAAGAGATGCCTCGTTTATTTCCCCTGTGTTATTATCAGAAGTTACTGTAAACTGTTGAATAATGTAGTTCATCTACTTTTAGTAGTTTGTTTAAATGTTTTAATTATGTTGTTTTTGTTTGTAGAAGTGCATAATTTCTTGATTTATTGTAAAATGAATCTGAACTTTTTGATCTGTTATGATGATAAACTGAAGCAATTTCTAAATTAACCCAATTAACTGAGTTTTAAATCGTCCTACTTAGTTTATAAGGAAATTATGAAGAGGAACAAATTAAATGATTTGAAAATGATATCTATGTAGGTGCTGACGCTGTTGGCGGTTCTAGTGTTAACATACATTTAAATTAAATATGTGTAATGGCAAATGCCATATATGATTTTCTTATCTGGAATTCTGCCTTTTTGAACAGACTGATTGAGTCCTAGCTGTATTGTCTGCAGTTCTAGGGTTAATATTAATCTAATATGATTGTCATCTATCTAAATTAGATTTCAAATGATTAACTGTGTATGTAATGAAGATCATAGTGTGGGTTAAATCCATTTTCATAACCACTGTCTTTTAACTGATTTAAATGGGGAAACTGGGCTTATTCATCAGAATTTCGTATGACTTGATTTGACTTGCTTGTCGTGAGCAATGACTTGACTTGACTTGCTTGACTCTCACCACAGTGACTTGGGACTTGCTTGATACTTGTAGGTCAAGACTTGAGACTTGCTCATGACTTGCACATGTAGGACTTACTCCCACCTCTGCTATTTACAAAATGTATACCCAGGATTCAGGCACCTTCCCTGGCTTGTAAAGTGCAGTTATGCGCCCTGGAGGTATTGCACTATTTACAAAATGTAGACCCAGGATTCAGTCACCTTCCCTGGCTTGTAAAGTGCAGTTATGCCCCCTGGAGGTATTGTACTATTTACAAAATGTATACCCAGGATTCAGGCACCTTCCCTGGCTTGTAAAGTGCAGTTATGCGCCATGGAGGTATTCTGCTATTTACAAAATGTAGCACTCTGTTTATTTCACACTTCAGCACCACGGACAGCGCTGAAGGGAAGTGGTGGGAAGTGGGATGTTTAGAAAGTCATGCTGCTACCCAATAGTTAGCCCCCAGATCCCTCTCCGCATATAATATACAGCCACCGGCTGTATATGTTATGCATTTATACATACATTTACTGTGGTGAGTTACACAACCTTACTCGGGTTTCTAAAATAGGGGGACGCATCGGGGGTCTCGGGGGGGTTCCCCGGGTCCGGTAAACAAGAGGTCTGGGGACTTAGTTTATTTCACACTTCCAGGAGAGACAACAGGAAAGTCCCCTCTCTCTGCCCGCTCACAGACCCCCAAAGGACGGCCTAGAGACCTCCAGCACCAGTCCCTAACAGTGGGACTCTGTTTATTTCATACTTCCAGGAGAGACAAGGGGGAAATCCCCTCTCTTTGCCCGCTCACAGACCCCCAAAGGACGGCCTAGAAACCTCCAGCACCAGTCCCTAACAGTGGGACTCTGTTTATTTCACACTTCCAAGAGAGACAAGGGGGAAATCCCCTCTCTTTTCCCGCTCACAGACCCCCAAAGGACGGCCTAGAGACCTCCAGCACGAGTCCCTAACAGTGGCACTCTGTTTATTTCAGACCTCCAGGACAGAGACCGGAAAATCACCTCTCTTTGCCCGCTCACAGACCCCCAAAGGACGGACTAATGACCCCCACATGTCCCCATAACAGTGGCACCTCCATAACCTTGCACACCGTGAGTCCCCGGGCCCCCGCAGTTAAGCACTCCCCCACGGACTAAACCCAGGTATTCACACCCACCAGAACCTCGTGCCCCTGGTGACCCTAAAGGGGGGTGGATTTTGTGGTGCTTTTATGTCCGCCCATCAGCATCCAAATTCGGCCTTCTTATTGGCACCACCACCCCCCTTCTGGGCTGGAGGTTCAAACACTTTAACTTTTTTTCACCCTCCTCTGGCTTACACCTCCTCCGCCAACACTTGAGCGCTCATCACAGGGTTCAGCACCAAGGAGAGTTCCTCCCCGGTGCTGATGGAAAGTGGCACTTTATCTGCCCCTGGGAACCATCAAGGTTACTGTTTTTTTTTTTTTTATTTGAACAAAAACAGTACACACAGCCAAAAACATGAACTATTTACACGTTGCACTACTACTATTACTAGTACTACTACACTGTTTACCCCAGGATTCAGGCACCTTCCCTGGCTTGTAAAGTGCAGTTATGCGCCCTGGAGGTGTTGCACTATTAACAAAATGTATACCCAGGATTCAGGCACCTTCCCTGGCTTGTAAAGCGCAGTTATGACCTTGGAGGTATTGTACTATTTAAAAAATGTATACCCAGGATTAAAATAATAATTATAACAATTTATTTGAACAAAAACTATATACACGGTATACATATTCACAATGTTTAGCGGGGTTCCGGGGACCATATTAGGCGTCTAATTCGTACGGTGCACCAGGGCAAACAGGTTGAGTCCACGGCCCCTGCCCCATCATCAGGAGTGTCAACCAGCCCCGGTCCCGACTTCATTGGCCTCTTTCCCTCCCGCTTCCGCTTCCGCTGCTGCTGCCGCTCCAATGACCCATCAGGTTGCTCGTGCTCTGAAGAAGAGGTATCGTTGGGGTCTTGTCTGCTGCTCTCAGCCCCGGAGCCCTCTTCGGAGGTCTCCCCATCTGAGAGCGGTAGACATCCTTCTGATGCTGATGCAGCTGCTGACGCAACCGATGATGCCCTGAACATGGAGCGGAATTTCAATGCCTCCTTTATTCCAGGCGCATTTGCGTAGAACCGGTCCGCCGTGGTTACGTCGTGACACATAAACCTGGCGAGAATCAACCGGCTTTCTGGATCTTGGTGATGCTTGATATTGTCAGCCAGGGCAGTGCGCAGGATTGTGAAGGTGACGGCTGTTTCTAGCCCTCTTCAAGTGAGCGTTCAGGTTCTTGGAGGCCCAAATCCCCGTTGTGAAAAGGAAGAATTCATTCTGAGGACCCAGCAATGCCTCTTTAATCTCCATCCACCGCATGACCCAGCTAAACTCCTCTACTGTAAGCGCCAGCTGTGCTTCGCCATATGTCTTGGCGGTCTTGTGATCCTGCACATGGATGATGTAGCCCTCAGCAGTTCCCCTTTTGGGAGTTCATGTTTGCGTACACGCCCGGACGGTGGCCATACAGGAGGCTCCAATGGAGGGTGAGATAGCCATAGAGAAGCTTCTGGGTGGTTGAGGTCGGCTTGCCGGCCATCAGGTCGAGGAGCTCCGGGGTGCGCTTCTCAGCGGCCGCCATGGCGGCGAGAAGCTCCGCCTGGCGATCCAGTTTGTCCCTCTTCACCTTAAACTGGTGGAGAGTGACTGCCTTATTCAAGTGTTTCATGTTGGCTTTCACCTCTCTCATTATGTGGGTCATATCAGACTGGGTGAGCCTGCACCCCCGGGGCTTTGACTCAGACATGTACCCCATGAAGTGGTTTAAACAGTGTTAAAAAGTGGGGGAACATGTTTCAAATTACAGCAGACTGCTGCTTGTTGGCAGGCTGACTCAGTTCACTTGTCTCACACACACAACCAGGTGGGAAAGAGAACACATTGACCCAGGAAAGAGTGCTCTAAACGTGGGTAAAAGTGTGTTAAAAAGTGGGGGAACATGTTTCAAATGACAGCAGACTGCTGCTTGTTGGCAGGCTGACTCAGTTCACTTGTCTCACACACACAACCAGGGGGGAAAGAGAACACATTGACGCAGGAAAGAGTGCTCAAAACGTGGGTAAAAGTGTGTTAAAAAGTGGGGGAACATGTTTCAAATGACAGCAGACTGCTGCTTGTTGGCAGGCTGACTCAGTTCACTTGTCTCACACACACCCAGGGGGGAAAAGAGAACACATTTAGCCAGGAATAAGTGTCTGAATCATGGGCACATTAGTGCTTAAAGTCGGGGGAACTGTTTTAATTCAGGACCAGGGTGAAGAGATGACACATTGACCCAGGAATAAGTGCTCAAAACGTGGGTAAAAGTGTGTTAAAAAGTCGGGGAACTGTTTTAATTCAGGACCAGGGTGAAGAGATGACACATTGACCCAGGAATAAGTGCTCAAAACGTGGGTAAAAGTGTGTTAAAAAGTCGGGGAACTGTTTTAATTCAGGACCAGGGTGAAGAGATGACACATTGACCCAGGAATAAGTGCTCAAAACGTGGATAAAAGTGTGTTAAAAAGTCGGGGAACTGTTTTAATTCAGGACCAGGGTGAAGAGATGACACATTGACCCAGGAATGAGTGCTCAAAACGTGGGTAAAAGTGTGTTAAAAGGTCGGGGGAACTGTTTAAAATGACAGCAGACTGGTGGTTGTTAGCAGGCTGACTCAGTTCACTTGTCTCACACACACCCAGGGGGGGAAAGATAACCGATTTAGCCAGGAATAAGTGTCTGAATCATGGGCATATTAGTGTTTAAAGTCGGGGGAATTGTTTTAATGCAGGACCAGGGTGAAGAGATGACACATTGACCCAGGAATGAGTGCTCAAAACGTGGGTAAAAGTGTGTTAAAAAGTCGGGGAACATGTTTCAAATGACAGCAGACTGCTGCTTGTTGGCAGGCTGACTCAGTTCACTTGTCTCACACACACACACACCCAGGGGGAAAAGATAACAGATTTACCCAGGAATAGGTGCAGAGAGAAGCCTGAAAATGACTCTCCAGCACCCCGGAGAGCTCCAGGGAGAATTGTGAAATATTGCTACTAATTCATAACTTTTGATAACATGCTCTGTTTGGTTCAGGCTTTTCTGTGCCCCCCCATTTCCACGTACCCCGCATCCAACGGTACCATCGCCGAATATCTAGGACCTCGGCTTCACTTTTAGCACACACCCAGGGGGAAAAGATAACACTTGTACCCAGGAATAAGTGTTTGAAAGGCGGGGAAAAGTTGTTTGAAATAGTATAATACCTCCAGGGCGCATAACTGCACTTTACAAGCCAGAAATAATGTTTAAATGGTCGGGGAAAGTATTTTTAAATGTCTGGAAGAGAGTTTTAGCCAGTCATTTTACACGATATCATTTAACATTGACGCTCTCCTGAAAATGCACAGAATATGTGCATTTTCAGGAGAGCGTCAATGTTAAATGATATCGTGCAAAATGACTGGCTAAAACCCAGGAATAAGTGTTTGAAAGCGGGGAAAAGTTGTTTAAAATAGTCTGATACCTCCAGGGCGCATCACCAAAATGTACAAGCCAGGGAAGGTGCCTGAATCCCGGATACTTTAGGTCTGTCACTTAGGGTAACCGCACCACTCCGACGCTCCCGAGAGCGGACGTCCATTATTTGTAAGGCACCTAAGACGGATAATTACTTTAAATCAGCATTTTCTCCTAAATCTCTGACTAAAGACTGTGCTAAGGCCTTTGGTGAAGTGGATGGACAAAGAGTTGCTGTCATTGACACTCCAGGTCTGTTTGACACCAGAACTGAAGAAAAGAAGATCAGAAAATATATTGTTCAGAGCATTGTTTTTGCTTCTCCTGGACCCCATGTCTTCCTGGTCGTCATCAGACTGGGCAGATTCACAGAGGAAGAAAAGCAGTCGGTTCAGAAGATTCAGGAAATCTTTGGAGAGGAAGCAGACAGATACAGCATGGTCCTTTTTACCCACCGTGATCTGCTCGAAGACCAAACTATCGAAGAGTTCTTGAAGGAAAGTGAAGCGGTGCAGGAACTTGTGGACAGATGTAACGGCCAGTACCACGTCTTCAATAATAAGGTGAAGGATCGTTCTCAGGTCAGAGAGCTGCTCGACAAGATCAGAAACATAACAGAGAAGAACGGAGGAAGCCATTACACCAATGAAATGTTCCAGGAGGCAGAGAGGGCCATAGAAGAGGAAAAACAACGGATCCTTAAAAAGAAAGACGAGGAAATACGCCAACAGGAGGAGGAACTGGAAAAGATAATAGAGGAAAAGTATGAGAAACAACTCCGGGAAGCAAATGCAGACAGGGAGAGGTTGAACAGGGTTATAGCAACTCAGGAAAAAGAAAAGGAGGAGGCAAGGGAAAATCTGAAAGAGATGCAGGAAATAACTAAACAGGAGGAGGAAGGGAAAAATCTGCAGGAAATTAACGCTAGACAGGAAGCTGAGAGAAGCCCTACAATAATCCAATACCTTATTGACCTTGTGAAATATCTTATTGTATTTGTGAAAGTGGTGAAAGAAATATTTGATGGGTGATTTTAATACTATCTTAATGCAACACTCACACACCATATGCATTTAGAGAGTAATAAGTCACCATAATCATTCCATCAGCATCTAGCTTTGCTCGACAAACCCCGTGATTAGTCCTCAAGCTCTGTGATTGGTTGACCTCCAACTGCATTCCATATGAAAAAAAACGTTTCGTAAAAGATCAAATCATACTTTATTCAGCAGTGCTTACTCTTTGAAAGTTATCACATGAATGCATTGTAATAAATGGTTTGGCTGCATTAAACATTACACATCTTTCGTAGTTCTTTATTTATCTACAGAGATCGGGCCTCAGAATAGACCGGAAACTATTCTTTTACCGTTCTGTTTTAATTTCACAATAAAGTTAGTAGTAATAATTTGTTTTGATATTATTGTTTTTTATTAACTACTAGACCGCTGGGTCATGTTAAGACCATCTTTTCTGTGTTGCTGTGGGTTTTTCACAGCGCTTTTGTGTTACAAATATCAAAACAATAACAGAATATATCCGTTGTAAACTAAACCAGAAACAGCAGTATATTTTATTTTGTTAACACTGTAAATTTGACAGCTTTTTAATGACTGTTTTAAAATGCCTTTTTTGTCTTTCATTTTTGTAAAGCACTTTTGAATGTGTTATATTTGATGAAAACATTTAAATATTAAGAGTACATACTCTAACCCTAACCCTAACCCTAACCCTAACCCTTAATATAGTGGGAAAGTGGAAGGTCAATGATATAAATAATATAGAATAGAAGATATCAAGAAGATACTGTAAGTGATCTCTACAGTAAAACAGTTTAGTGCCTGATAGGAGGATGTGCAAAACAGACAAACTAATAAGGCTTTATTTAAACATTAAAGAATACTTTAGGTTAAGGTCTTCTTTTAAATAAGAAAAAAGCTTTGGGGGTATCTACAGATATTAAGCCTGACAAAGTACTTAACGTCTAATATATTGCATGGTTTGTTTTGGAACTTGACAATCAACTTTCCTGCAATGTTAACTATGTTGAAGCACTTATTTTAACTGATATTATACATATTAATTATACTCGTATAAGATGTATATAGATAGTATAAGAAATGTGCAGAATATGTTTAATGGTGGAGGTACACAGATATCGATAGATGTCTTGTAATGCACTGTTGAGGAACCTGTGACCCAAGTTTTTCATTCATTGCATAACTACACCGTAGTTGTGTATATGATATGTCAATATCAAATCGGAGTAACCACACATTTTTCGGTCAAGTTTGTTTTTTATAAATCGTAAAGATTGTTTTGAAATTGGCGTACGCCATCTTTTGAGGTTTTTCAGGGTCCAACTTGCAGTATTGTGTACAACTAGCTAACGTGTAAACTAAACATCAACTTCAAAGGCTTTATTGTCATTGCACAGAAGCTAGAGTGTAGAAATGGAAATGAAAATCTTAAGTCCCAAGGTCCTCCAACAATGCAACATAATATGAATAGGACATAAAACAATACAACTAATTAAAAAATGAATACAAAAAAGTGCAAGAAACATATTAGAATAGATTGAAAAGAATACAGCAGAACAATGTGCAATTAATGCAAATTAAGATGAAGTAAACATATAAAAAAATATATATAAAAAGCTAAATGTTGCAGAGAATTTTGTGAGGGACCAAGTAAATACAAGAGTTTATATATGTAAATATATGTCATTGCATGGCCTCAGATCTACTTCATATAGTAAACAAGTCTCTTCACTCAGGTGTTTTTCCACAGGCCCTGAAAACTGTAGTCATCAAACCGCTCTTAAAAAATAATAATCTAGATGCTTCAGTAATGAACAATTACAGCCCCATATCAACCCTGCCATTTCTAGGTAAAATCATTGAAAAAGTTGTTTTTCAACAGTTGAGTAATTTCTTGCATTTAAATAACTGTTTGGATGTGTTCCAGTCAGGCTTTCATCCAAACCACAGCACTGAGACTGCTCTTGTAAAGGTCTTCGATGACATCCACTTAAACACAGACAGTGGCAGAACTTCAGTGTTAGTATTATTAGATCTCAGTGCTGCGTTTGACACTGTTGATCACAACATATTACTAGACCTATTAGAAAACTGGGTGGGACTTTCGGCAACAGTTCAAAATTGGTTTGAATCCTACGTAAAGGACAGAAACAACTTTGTTTCTATAGGTCAGGGGTCGGCAACAGGTCCGGTCCGGTCCCAGACGCCGACCTATACGGACCCGGGCCTATAATCAATACATTAATAGGGGATTTCAATTTTGACGGGGCGATTCTATTTTAACCGCCGCCGACAGGGGGCGAAAGAGACGAGTGAGCGATACAGGGAGAGAAACACAGAAGAAGAGACGAGAGAGCGGCAGAGGAAAGTGAGTGAAGAGAATCATTAGCGATACAGGGAGAGAAGCGGTGAATGTGAATACATTTTGGAATACTTTTTGGAATTATTGGTGGAAAAGTTTCCTCATAAAATGTAATATTCATTACCAGCAGAACTGTGTGCACACTGCACAGCGCTGCAGCATGTCTGTGAGGCCCCGCCCCCGCACGCAGATCAGAGAGAGAGATCTCTTTTAAAATATATAGAAACAGAGATGGTTCGATAAAATGTGCAAGATAACGTTTATGTAGCATTTCTTTATTGTCGAAATGATGACATTTCATAACGGGATCAAAGTGAATGTCCTGCTGCTGCTGAATGCATGGGGCAAGTGACTGGAAACAGTTTGAAAAGTTATTACGTCGTTTCAGATAATAAATAATAATAGTAATTCATTCTATTTAGGGGCGCCTTTCAAAGCACCCAAGGACACCTGACAATTCATAACATATTCTAAGGAAAGGTTTAAGAGAGTACAAATAATGCAGTCCTGGTGATGTTTTTTATGTGGGGTGCAGATGAGAGGGAGCTGTCCAGAATGACCCAAAGATGTTGTGTTTGAGTTGTGCTCTTGATAAGCCATTAAAACAGTAAAATAAGTGTCTCCTGTTCACCAAAACATACCCATCTGTTATAGAAAAATAAAGTATTCCAAAAGTATTCTAAAAGTAATCTGAATACGTTACTTTTTTAAGACACGTAACTCTAACTGTATTCGGATTACTTTCAGAGCCATGTATTCAGTAACCGATTACATTTACAAAGTAACCCTCCCAACCCTGATTAAAAGTGCCAAAACGCCACTATGAGACAAAACACAAAGTGTTTGACCAAACATTCCCTCTCAAGTCAGAACTGAGGTCACAAAAAATAAGCAGTCTCAGAGCCCAGTATGATCAGTCCACCAGGATCAAAATGAAAACTAAATATCGTTCCAGGGCAGGCTAACCGAGGCTAACCAATGAGCACCTGCGTGTGTATGAGAATGGCCCTGACACCATTTCAGCCCAGATTTAAACACCTGGCAGGACAAGCTCAAGCTCAATTCTCGCACTGAATTAAAGAAAAGTGAGTGAGGGACTGCAATATAAGAGGGAAAGAAAGAGAAACTTTAAAACTGTTCAATTGTTATGATGTGTAAAGACTGATATGTTCTATAATCGTCTGAAACTGTTAAGTCATGATGTGAAACGGTTAACAAAGCTATTTTATTTATTTCTCTATTTTATTTTTAAATGCAGCCCGAGAGGAACATTACACATATCCACAGTATTTACTGTATATCTGTATAGTTCAATGTTAATTGACAATAAATATTGTTGTTTATGAATTGTACTTTCTTTATCTGATTGGCAGTCAGTTGTTGATTACATGCAGACGTTGATAAAGCTACAGGCTACTTCAATATATATCACACTAATTCATAAAGCAAGTTAGATATTTTGATCTTCCGGACCTTTGCATGGGGAGATTTTCTCTAACTGGACCTCGTTGAATTTTAGTTGAATACCCCTGCTATAGGTAAATACACATCTGAGTTGACAAATATGACATGTGGGGTACCTCAAGGCTCCATCTTTGGGCCTCTTCTCTTTAACATCTACATGGTACCACTGGCTCAGATATTGAAAAACAACAAAATAAGTTGCTTTCTTTCCCCAGATCAGAACTAAACATGGAGAAGTTCAGTTATTATGCTCCAAATATCTGGAACAAACTCCCAGAAACCTGCAGGCCCGCTGCATCTCTGACTACTTTTAAATCCAGGCTGAAGACTTTTTTTTTTGCCGCTGCTTTTAATTGAACTATTCACATTTTACACTGCACTCTAACTTTCATTCATGTCCCTGTGTTATTCATGTTTTATTATCTTTGCTTTTAAATTTGTGTTTTTAAATGCCATTTCGTAATATGTTTCTTAATGCTCTTAATGTCTTTCATTTTTTTAAAGCACTTTGAATTGCCTTGTGTTGAAATGGTGCTATATAAATAAACTTGCCTGGCCTTGCCTTGTACATGCATCCACAAAGTTGGCAGAAGGGGGTACATTGTTTTCTTGTTTAGCTGCTTTTCAGATTATTAAGTATTCTAGTGTTGTTTTATTTAAAAGTACAGTAACTCAGTAATGATTTGAAAGCTTACACAACATCTTTTAACATATCTATTTTACCTCATGTTGCAAACACAGATTAAGAGCTACAAATAAAACTGCTGCTCTGTATGGGCACTTATGTTGACATTTAAAAGAACAGGTGGCATTTCTTGTAAATGCTGATGGGAGGGTGAACCAGGTTTGCTGTTTATAGTTATCTAAATGAACATGCAAGTGGACTGGATATTCAAGCTGTGCTAAAAACAGAACAATAAAGGGCGTGAATCAACAAATTCCAACGATCATTGGAGAGCTTCTTCAGTTTACCGCATCATTTATGAGAAGACATTTCATAACAATAACACAACATATTCAAGGTGGTTTTCAATAACATATCCGTATTTATTTCTATTTGAGGAGTCTCAAATAGGCGTTTGTTTAATCATTTTAAGATTGGCTTTAATCAATTTTTGCAAATGAATTCTTCATATATGATAAATGAGAGGTAACATTTTATTTA